GTGGTGAATATGCCCATTGTAGAGGAGCCATTCAGCAGGGTTGCCATAGACTTAGTAGGGCAACTGGCTACACCTAGTCCCTCCAGTAAGCGATACATTCTTACCGTAGTAGACTACGCTACCAGGTACCAAGAGGCGGTAGCCCTATCTAACATTCAAGCGGATACGGTAGCTAATGCGATGGTTCAGGTGTTCTCTCGGGTAGAATTCCCAAAGGAAATCCTGTCTAACCGAGACACCCAGTTTACAGACGAATTGACACACCAGCTCTGACAAGTCTGCAAGATTAAGTCTCTCCTGAGCTCTCCCTATCACCCACAGATGAATGGGCTTTGTGAGAGGTTCAATGGGACCCTCAAACAAATGCTCAAAACGTTTGCCCAGGAGTACAGAGACTGGGAACGTTTTATGCCGCACCTCCTATTTGCTTATCGAGAGGTGCCCCAGGAAACGACAGGGTTCTCTCCCTTCGAGTTGCTATATGGACGCAAGGTAAACCTGATCCGAGAGCACTGGGAGGGAGAGATGGAGACTGACGGTGTCCCCATTGTACCATACGTGCTAGAACTCCAGGACCGAATGGAGTAATTAGCCAAATCCGTTCAGGCTAACCTCCAGTCGACCCAGAGGAGACAGAAGGTATGAGTACTTAAGCCGGTTAAGACAGACAAACTCCAAGCATCCTGGCAGGGGCCCTACCAAGTAGTAGAGAAGAGGGGAGACACCACTTACGTGATAGCTAGCTGCCACGACAACAATCTTAGAAAGACGTTCCATGTAAATATGCTCAAAGAATATTTCGAGCGACCTGAGAACGTGACAGCGGTATGCTGTCCCCCCCACGAAGACCCAGACAGCCTACCCATACCGGACTTATTAGAAAAGAGCCCCGGCACAGACATAGTGTCCAAGGTCAAGATAGGAGACCGACTTAGCCCCACTGAAAGGGAGCAGCTTAACCAGCTACTTCAAGCCAAAAGCCCCACTTTTTTCTCAGAAACCTGGATACACTACCTTGACCACCCACCAGGTGGATACACTGGGGCAAACCCCCTTACGGCAGGCACCCTACCGAATCACAGAGGCAGTTCGGACAGAGATGGAGAAGGAGATCGATGAGATGCACCAACCAAGAGTCATTGAGTCTTCAGATAGCCAATGGGCTTCCCCAGTGGTCCTAGTGCCCAAGAAAGACGGGACTACCCGGTTTTGTGTGGACTATCGGAAACTCAATGAGAAAACTGTGACAGACGCCTACCTTATGCCCAGAGTAGACGAGCTACTTGATCGAATAGCAAGGGGAAATTATCTAACCACCATTGACCTCTGCAAGGGTTATTGGCAAATTCCCCTGGCCCAGGAGGCTATCCCCAAGTCGGCATTCGTCACCCAGTTCGGATTATACCTTTTTAAGGTAATGCCGTTCGGTATGAAGAATGCCCCAGCTACATTCCAGCGCTTGGTGGATAGGCTCCTGGATGGATTCCAGAGTTTTGCTTGTGCATATCTGGATGATATAGCGATCCACAGTGAGTCCTGGGAGGACCACCTAGCTCATGTAGGAATGGTTCTGGATCAGATTTGGGCCGTCGGCCTGACCCTGAAGCCAGAAAAATGCCACTTTGGGATGGCCGAGGTACAGTACCTGGTGTGACAAGACCAATCTTGCCACTGTGCATTGGAGGAGCCTGGTTGCCCGCCTGCTGCCTTTAGACTATGGCCCCATGTTGAAACGCTTGATTTTCCTCTGCAGAGACACGAAAGCCGGGTCATTTGGTGCTGGCCCTGTTTAAGCGGTGATACCCCAGATAGCTATGCCATGGAGCCCATTCGTATAATGAAAGACTATGGGAAAGACTTTGGCTCCATGGCAATTGAACTGTATGTATGTGCTCTGAGCGCCATTCAGTAATAATGTGCGCTCAGATCTGAGCTATCTGAGGATATGTTGAATGTACCTGTTTTGTGCAATGGCTGCACAGTTATAGGTTTTTATGTGTTTTATTGTCTTTTGCTGCCATGTGTTCAATGGAGTTTTGCCTCTGTCCTTGGAGATAATTGGATTACTTCCCAATTATCTCCAGGATAGAAGACTCTGTGGAACTGGTTTTGGGCATGATCTATCTTTTGAACCTCTGGACCAATGTGGATGATTTTGACGTATGTTTGTATTTGGAGTATGCTGATTCTGAAAATGTACGTTTTATGTGAATGTGATGCATACTTTTCAAGTTATGAATAATGTGGAAAAATTGTATTTCTCTGCTTGTGATAATTACATTACCCATTGTGTAAGGTAATTGTATCACAGGCAGAGGGGAGGATTTTGTGTGGGAGTGTCTGAGTGTATTGTATGTGTTTATTGGTTGTGTTCCAAAACCCTGAGGGTGGTACTAATGTGTATATAAGAACAATAAACCCACAGCTCTGTCTGTTCACTGCTTGACCCTCAAAACAGAGCCTTGTCTCGTTCTTGGGGGGATTTATTGTATGCTGTTCCAGTTTGACTGCTAGGAGTGTAAACCTATTCGTATGGTTTTTCCTATTCGGCTGTTTACGGCATTCATATGGTTTCCTGTTCGGCGGATTGGTGTTCTGCAGTAGCTGTGCCTGTGTCTCTGGAAGGGAAGATCTACTAAACTGCGGTTTAACCCTTTTATGCCCGGGGTGCCGTTACACCTGGGTCACAGGGTGGGGTGTGGGAAACAACGACCAGTACCGTCTAAGATAGAAGCAGTCGCCAACTGGCCCACTCCCACCACTAAAACACAGGTTCAAGCCTTCCTGGGCACGGCAGGGTACTACAGACGGTTCGTACCGGACTACAGCACACTTGCCAAACCATTGACTGACCTTGTGGTGACATTCTGTCATCAAACTAATACTATGACCAGGGATCACGTGACCAAGCTCATGTACAGTGGGATAAGCTTTACCTTTTGAAATGGTAATTGAGTAATTCAATACCTTTACAAGTCAGGAAAGAGGTAACCACTTCCCCATATCTCCATTCCTCCCTGTTCCTTCTTGGCTGTGCTACAGAGCAGATGTGCAGACGCCATGTGCTATCTTGGTGAACCATATTACACTCTGTTGCTTCCTTTTCTTCCTTGGTGGATGTGATGTTGAACTTGCAGCAGTGAGCCATTACTAGATGTGAAGGCCTAACCGTGGGTGAGATCAAACATGTGAGGAAGGGGTTACTATATAGATATATAGATTTAAAAAAGGGTTGTTGCTCTGTGGGTCTGGGCTGTGTGTTTGGGATACATTTATAGTATTGTGTTGTTGCCTTTTAATAAATACCTTTTAATGTAGACAAACCTTGCGTAATATATATATATATTAATTTGGTGATACACCACAGACCTGACCAAGAAAAACTTACCCAGACAGGTCCTGTGGTCTCCCCACTGTGAAGCGGCTTTTCAGGCTCTCAAACATGCACTTGTTAACGCGCCTGTCTTGGCGGCTCCAGCCCTTAACAAATGTTTTATCGTCCATACAGACGCTTCCATATTCGGGCTGGGAGCTGTCCTCAGCCAAGTAGGTGAAGACGGGGGAGAGCACCCGGTTGCCTACATCAGCCGTAAGCTCCTGCCACGCGAAGTCAGCTATGCCACAGTAGAGAAGGAGTGTTTGGCTCTAGTGTGGGCACTAAAGAAACTGACTCCCTATTTGTACGGACAAGAGTTCACTCTGGTTATAGACCATAACCCGTTGGTGTGGCTAAACCGGGTTGCTGGGGATAATGGCAGACTTTTACGGTGGAGTTTGTCACTGCAACCTTTTAACTTCACCATTACCTACAGACCTGGAAAACAGAATGGCAACACCGATGGGTAGTCCAGACAAACAGACCTCAGCCCAGCATAACCGTCAGTCTGGTCAGTCTTAGTCTGCCACGAACGGATTACTTACACCAATTTGTTAAACGAATAACGGACCACCCGGTCCCTGGCGTGTGCTGCCACATAACCCTGGTCACCTTTCAAACAGCTGAACAACCGACCACCCTGCGAGGGGAGTGTGTTACCACTTGATCGCCCAGAGAGTTGCGGTCTGCGGTTAACCGCAGGTTAATTGACGGCCTCTGGGCATTCTCGTTCGTGCCTTATCTCCCGATGGTCTAACTACCGAAAGGGGCACGAACGGGGACCACCTACAGCCTGGCGTGTGGCCTCAATTAGAATGTTGAGTGTTGCGGTTAACCGCAGCTTAAGTACCCCCTTCACGGCGGTCTACGTTTGTCTCCCGTACAACTGAAACATCCAGCCAGAGAGCGGGGATTCGTGCACAACTCTGGCCGTTAATTGTTCCACAAGTTTGATGCCGAGGTCCCACTGTCTATTGATTCACTCAAAAACATGGCCGCAATCTCAAGCTCGGGACCAAATATTCGAACGGACTTTGCAATGATGAAACCAAGCATATGGTTCGTGGGTGTGAGGCGCTATTCGGTGAAATATTGCACACAGACCTGGGCTACAGAATGAATGGTGGAAGTCCCGAAGTATAGCTGAAAATGTTGAAGTTATATATTTTTAACCTGTTTTTGATGTGTTTTTTGGGCGCTTGGAGATAATTGTATTGGCATAGCCGTTGGGTTCATTATCTCCAAGCTGGGCGGTAACAAATTCAAACTTGTATTATTCCTGTATCCCATCAGGTCCAGAGGGGGCTATCCCTGGACCTGAGATTTTGCATAAATACCGATCCCTGTGTGCCATTAAAAGCAGTTCTTGTTTGACCTTCAAATTGCAGCCTCGACTAGTTTTGTGGGGAAGAGAGTATCCTACCTGTACTATAGCTAGTGGGATTGTTCTACATTTACAGGATCCTTTTGGTCGTCTAGTCGAAGTGGCTTCTCTCTCTCTCCACACCGGGATCCAGATCTTCCAAGCAGTCCAGCTTCCAGCTAGCCTGGGGGTTACCGTAACATCTCCGTGGGTGCATCTCGGGTATGGAGGTTTGAGCGGTTGAGGTCTGTTGTGTTGCTGAGTTGTTTCTGAGTGTATGGGTGGATGATGATATGGGGCTTAGAATTTTGCTAGGGTGCAGTTGTTTTGCCGTTTGAGGGGACGTTTTTTAGTTGGTGTGTACTGTTATAGATGATATTTCGTGGTGGTGACCCATATTTGTCCTTGCTGCTCTTTGTGTTTGTTGTTGCGCTTTTAGGTTGTGTTGCTCCTGGGTGTTGCGTGTATGTATGTGTGTGTGTTTGTGCATTTTGTGGTGTAGCTGTGTTTGTCTGCTGACCCGTTTGCGTTTGATAGCCGTTACGGTCTGGTGTGAGGTCTGCTGTTCTTCTGTCGGTCTGCTGGAGGTCATGTGAGGTTTTTTGTTCTTGGGGGTGCTGGGTCTCCCTTCGGTCAGGTGTATGGTGGTGTGGATATGAGCTGAAAGACAATTTTAGTTGAATGTGTGGTATAATTTCATTGATTCGTACCCCTCCCTGGAGCTCTTTGGTTCTCAGGTTGTCTTTGGTTGTGGCTAGTTCTGCTTCATAGGGGGTCTCTTGTCCTGGGTCCCATAAAGTTTTTAGGGGTTTAGGTGGTTGTTTGCATGCTTTTGGAGGTGTTTGGGAGGTCGGGGGTAAACCCTGTCTGCTGGTATGTAGGGTTAGTTAAACGTTTGTTCTTAGCTTTTGTGAGAGTGGGTGTATTGTCTCAGGCTGTGGTCTGTTCCCCCATTTTTCCTAGGAGGGGGGCTCCCTATAGTTTTATTTCCCCCATCTGTCTTTACGTGTGGTGCCTCTCTTGTCCTGTGGTATGGGGGTCTGGAAATTGTGGTCTTTTGTTCTTTATGTAGGGCGAGTGTATGGGGTGCTATTGGTTTCAATTCTCTTGTTCGGGATTTAGTCTCTCTAGGTCATACATTCTTGTTCCTCAGCATATTAACATACCCTTTTAACCCCTTAAGGACACATGACATGTGTGACATGTCATTATTCCCTTTTATTCCAGAAGTTTGGTCCTTAAGGGGTTAAACATCGGCATATTACATTGTGTATACATAATATAGTTTGTACAGTTTTTTCGACCTCTGTGACCGGTGTACAACCTCGAGAAGTGGAGTTTTCAGTGCAGTGCTTTTGTGAGCTGTAAGAGATATGTGAGTTTTGTGAAAAACAAGATCTAAAAAGGGCATACCCCTAGGGATAATGGTCAGTTTCAGGAGACATCAACAATTCTGAGCTTTCTTTAAATATTCACTACAGATATGCATAACATAGTGTGACCTGTTTAGTAAAATGGAGGTGTGGCGGCAGATATGATAGATGCTAACTCACAATTTATTGCGCTAAAGGCCTAGCTCAGGTGTTTGGCTTTGGCGCTGAACATTGTGGCTACTGACGGTGTGGAATCCTTTTTTTCCTTTGTGCCCCCCATCTGACTGGGTGAGAGCTCTGCTATTATGAGTCTCTGGATGATTTTGCAGGCGAAATGCACCTTTTTGGAGGCTGATGGATGCAGATTGTGTATCCGGGGTGGGAGAGCTGAGAGAACACACGTCTTACTCCATTGAAGGTTAGGCTTCGCCCCTGCATTCTTTATTTTTGTTTTCTCAAGTATCAATTTTACAGTAAATATTCCCATTTGAAACATAAGTATATTAAGATTTCATAGCTTAGCTTGCAGCAAAAGTACGTAAAGACATCATGGTATAGTATGCCTCGATATTGTGCTGTAGGTAAACACTACATGGTATAGCCTGCGTCAGAATCTACTTTTCACCCCTATTCAAGGGTTTTCCTTAGCTGGCAATACTGGCTGTACTAGCAAAGGCAGAACATGCCAATGTGTCTCACTCCCCAGGCCTTGAGGATTAACGACAACTCAATTTGTGTAGTGGGCCAAGATATAAGAGGCAATTACTCTAGCCACTATTGTCCTAGTTATTGTACATGCTTGCACGCATCACTCCATCACACTGTGGACCTCTTTGCCAGTGATCCCCATCTCCCCCACCCCTCCGGCAATCCCCCCCGTATGCTGGTGTCCGGGTGGGTCTGAGGCCTGCGCTGACAGAGGTCGTATGTGTGTGGCTGTAGTGTGCCTCCTTTGTTACCAAAAGGAACTTGATCAGTGTCCACTACACAGTGCCTACCAGGTAAAGTGGTAGAGGAGTGTTGGCCCCATGGTCTCGCCCTCCTTTCGCTCTGACTGTCCGGCGAGCTTTCCAAAGGCAATTAAGAGGGCGCGCAGGTGCAGGGCAAAGAGAGGGGTGCTTGATAATTTTAATAAAATATTATACCCCATAAATTTCCTCACACTTCTGCAGTTGTGATAGAATTTATCTTGATTCCAAGGCTCAAGCTTATAGGTGTCATATAATGATATCCTATATTAAAATTGGCCAACTTGGACTCAGGAAATGCTTGATGCTTAAACAACACTAAAGACCATATATGTCTAAGTTCTGGGAGCAGAGAACCCCCACCTAAGATGTCTCTGCTCTAATCTCTCATTTTGTTCTCTCTTACCTTGAAACTTATTTGTTATGTGTACATGACGCTCATCCCTATGTCTTATCTGTACTCTCTTCCAATTACTGTTCTAAGAGTATTTGCACGTAAGCACTTACCTCTTTAATGTATAAAACCCAGCTGATGAATAAAACGTCAGAGGCTTATTTTGAATACCAACACGTGTCTGGTGTCTAATTCTCGCTTCTCCAAGTGCACTTGTAACAACAATTTGGGCTTCCTCTGAAGATCAACATTCTGATCCACAACACAGTCTCACAGCTTAGTTTTCCACCATTTAGGAGTTAAATCAATTTGTTTCTTAAGCTCTGGTCACACCTCCCCTCCCTGTGACCCACATAGTTTCCCTAAACACCTGAAAAGAGAGATCTAATGTTTAAACTTCCCTAATTGCATAGTCTAATTTGGAATTTCTGTTGTCTTGCTCTGTTAATATCCTCGTAGAGCCTGCAGGAACCTTGTATGTGATTAAAGTTGAATTAACAGAATTAGCATTCTGTGGTATCATCTGAATAACAAATGCAACCATTTGCGCATGTGGGCTGTGTGAGTCACTGCCAGGGGAGGTGTGGCTACGGCAGCAATAAACAGAAACAAGAGAGATTTAACTCTTAAATGGCAGAAATGAGCAGTGAGACTGCAGGGCTATACTATACAGTAAGCTAAAGGTGCTTATAGTCCTTTCATCAAGAACCATTTTTTGTCAATCTTGATTTAGCAAGACTTTCAAAAACCACATATTTTCCTGCACAGGGCAGTAAAAAGTAGGAAGACAAATGTAACTCATTGTGCAACACAAATTGAAGGGCAATGGGGACGTGGCCAACTGACGAACTAAATGGACGCACACTAAACTTGCTCCGGGCAATTCAGGTACCAAATACTATATTTTTGAGGCAACACACAACTATGGGTAACCCCGAGGGCGGAGCCGACTGCCTAACCGCATGGACATGTGTTAGCTGAGCTCCTCTAACGTGGAAAGCCAATCCAATGACATCTAGCACTAAACTCTCAAAATCACACCCTCAAAATGGGAAAACAGGCAAAAAAACTGGCAAAAAAACGGCAGGAAAATCGGGGGCTCTAACCAAATTTTTTTCGAGATACGGCAGACCCGCCAACCGACCCGGTAGGCCGCAATATGGCGCCGGACTCACCACCTTCCTGCTCCACTCCATCGAGCCCCACAGGATGAATAAACTCAACTCACCCGGCAGATCCAGATATCCGAGAGATCCTGAGAGCTCTCCCTTCAAAACAGGACTTAGGACTCATGCTGAATAAACTGGAAGCTTCCTTTCAGACTAAATTGGATGCCATAGGTGCTGACTTCCAACACACTAAACAAAAGGTGGCTGCCTTAGAGCACAACTCAGAGTCCTCCAGGACACGGTAGCAGCCCAGACCACTAGAATACATACAGCGGTCGCAGGGGTCGCAGCTGCGACCAGGCCCGTCATTCCAGGGGGTTTGGCCGCCCTACAGACCTCTGCGACCAGGTACCTGCCATCACCATTTGCGGCCGTCCGCCGTCCAAGGGGTCCATCGGGTGGCCCATGCTGTCAGGGCCATCCGATGGATATGGATTGTCAGGGGTCCTGGTCAGCGCTGGGCGCTTTAACAGTGCGACCGGGCCCCCTGTGATGAGATCATCACTGCTGGGAAGAAGTGATTGCACATCACTCCTCCCAGCTAACACACACAGCCCGCATGGGAGGAAGGAGAGGGAGTCAGAGTGGGAACTCCTGACTCCCATCAACCTGAGCCACCACTGGACCCCAGGGGAAGTCACCCTCCTGCACCTAAAAGGTAGGAAACAAGAAGGTGACTTAAATATTGTGTGTGTGTGTTTGTATGTCTGTGTCTATCTGTCTGTATGTATGTATGTCTTGCGTGTGTGTGTCTGTATGTCTGTCTATATATATATATATATATATATATGTATGTCTTGTGTGTGTGTCTGAATGCGTGTATCTTTCTATGTATGTATGCATGTATGTCTGTCTGTATGTGTCTGTCTATCTGTCTGTATGTATGTGTGTTGTGTGTGTGTCTGTCTGTATGTATCTGTGCCTGTCTGTTTTTATGTATGTATCTTTGTATGTGTGTCTTGTGTGTGTCTGTGTGTGTATATGTGTGTCTGTTTGTACGTACGAACGTACGTACATACGTGTTCCTGTCTGTATGTGTCTTTGTATGTATGTTTGTTGAGTGTGTGTGTCTGTCTGTCTGTATGTGTGTGTGCCTGTCTGTTTTATGTATGTGTCTTTGTATGTATGTGTGTCTTGTGTGTGTGTCTGTCTGTCTGTATGTGTGTCTTGTCTGTATGTAGGTGTGCCTGTCTGTCTGTACGTATCTGTCTGTCTGTATCTGTCGGGGGGGGAGAGTTAGAGGGGGTGAAGAGGGAGGGTGGGGAGGGTGGGGAGGGGGGCCCATGGATCAGTTTTGCACCAGGATCCCATGGGTTATGTGTACACCACTGGCCCAGACTGATCACTTTTCCATCCTACAGCGCTCAATCGACAGCCTAGACAACAGGGGATGGCGCAACAACCTCAGAGTTAAAGGCCTCCCTGAAGCAGACTAGGAAAAACTACCAGAAGTTCTCCAGGAATTATTCAATCTCCTACTGGTCCGAGCTATACCCACCCCGGTGCTATTTGATATGGCACACAGAGCTCTGCGGCCACGAGGCACCAAGTACGACGCACCCAGTATGCAGGCTT